ACTAGGATCCAGGACATGAACCGTGAACTAAAACAGAACAGACAGACTGACAAAAAGACAAGCAATGATCTGGCACTGAATGCTCAGGCTGAACTGAATATAAACCAGAGGAAACAGGTGAGAGGAATAAATTATAATAGAGGCAGGGAGGGAAAACGACAGGTGAAAGGAATGACTAATTAAGGGAGAGCAAACAGGCCAGATTATGACACTATCAACACCTACAATTACTACAATATTTATTGTCTCTTTGGGATAAAAAAAATTTTTTTTTGAATTAAATCAAATTGAACCGATTTAATGTTATGATGTAATGTATTTGCCGACTTATAGTGGTAAACCTGCATCTGAGAAGTTTGAGAGAATTTGGAAAGAGAATGGATGAGCTGTATTAAACAAGTTTGGTCTTTGGTTTTTCTATATTTGGTGGTTGGAATTCTGATGTTTTGTACCAAAATTTTGCACTGCAAAAATAATCCAGAAATAAGTAAAAAAATTCTTAAATTAAGTATAATTACCCTTAATTTGAGCAGATAAATAAGATGAGCTGCTAATGGAATGAGTATTTTTACTCTTAAAATAAGATAGTTAGATAATATGCACTTGAAATAAGACAATAACATTGTTTTTTCTTATTTTAAAAGGAAATCGTCTTGTGCCATTGGCAAAGTGTCTCACTTACCTCCTCAATTCAAGGAAAAATGCACTTATTTTAAGAAAAAAAAATTACTTATTGAGATTTCTATTTTTTGCAGTGTGTTCTTTAAGAGACGACTGGTGGGAACAGCAGAGAGGATCATCGGGGCTCCTCTTCTCTCCATTTAAGACATTTCATCCCACTGTAACATCATCAATGACCCCTCACACCCCCACCATGCTGCCCTCTGGGAAGAGGCTTTGCAGCATCCACTGCAGGTCCACCAGATTCTACAACAGTTTTTTTCAATAGCTATCAGATTGCTGAACTGTGGAAAAAAACCTCTAATTCAAGTCATAGACTGCATCACACTGATAACATCAAACCAAAAAGCACTCAACTCAAAAAATGTTTTTCTACTGCATTTTTGCACCATATATATTTGTCTTTGCACTGCTCTGAACTTCAATATCAAGGCATTTTCCCTCCCACACTGTTTACATTTGATCACATGCAAATGTTCATTTCACTGCTGCTCATTTACTGTCTAAAAGCCGTACAAAATCTATGTAGGCTAACTGAAGAAGAAATACTGTGATATATAATTGCAACATCATAAAAATAAAATTATACATATGTATATTAAAAAAAAAGTTAGAGGCATGCCGTATCACAGATCTGCTCATGTTGCTCTTGTTTTTAATCAAAAAGTCCTCCATTTCTGATTGAATGCCAACAAAAGCCAAGAGGAAAATGCAGTAATCATCGAAGTTACAATATATTTCCATCGAAATGTACAGATATTTTTGGATACTCTTTGAACTTTCTTAATATTTCAGCTTCTTAAAAAGATCTTCACCTTGAGCTGCATTCAGAATTGTCAGAAAAATCAGAGGAACTATATGATCATTTTGTATATGTATCAAAGAAGATATCATGATAATTGAACTTTATTGATCTCAAATTGGAGAAATTTACCTCTGCATTTAAACCATCCCTTTGGGGAGCAGTAGGCTGCCATCATGGGAGCAGTGTGGGGTTAAGGGTCTTGCTCAGGGACCCAGAGTGGCAGTCTGTGGGAGTGGGGCTTGAACTCAGAACCTCAGGATTCCAAGCTCTAACCAGAAAATGGTAAAGGCATTGAAACCCTAAATTGCTTAAAGATTAAAAATGCATTTGTTTATAGTGGCCTTATCTGTAGCGTCTCAACCATTTCATCCTTTTTTATGTTTATCAATCATTTTATCTTTTTATTAATATGGAAGCCACTAACTTTACCGTGTCACTTTTATACTGTTTAACCATTTTTCTGTGCCTTTTATGCCACTGAAATGTGCTACATAAATAAACTCCTCTTGCCTTTTTAGAGCCTTGCTCTTTTTTGTCATTTCTTGTGAATTCTAATAATCAGAACTGTAAGTTTCTCAATTACCGCTCTTAACAAATTATGTACAGTCATAGGAAGAATAAAGTAAAGCCTTTCTGCTTCCTTGAGTATTGAAAAATAGTGACTGTGCACATCATCTTATGCACTTTTTTTAACAGATCAATTGGATGTTAGATAATCTTGCCA